AGGATATGGCAGAAGCTGAAGATGCAGAGGGGACTATGAAGGCTTTCAGTGCCATGTGGGAGGTTTGGATGCCATCCTGAGGATCTTGACAAGCTATAGATAAATTTCAAATGAGGCAGGGGAAGGGCAGAGTGTCAGAACCTAAGACTTATATTCAAAAAACTCCCTGGAAGGATTTGAAAGGGTTGATTTGAATGAAACAAAATCTTGCTCATTCCATCCCCATCTCGCTGCGCCCCTTGCTGTTTCTCAAATTTACCAGGTGAGCTCCTGGCTCAGGGCCTGCTCTTACCTCTGCTGAAATCATTCTTTTCCTCGAACTTTCATGGCTTGCTCACTCACCTGCTCTGGTCTTTATTCAAATGTAACCTTTTCAGCATGGCCTTTCTCGGCCACTCTACCTAAATTTCCAGCACCACATACACACTTCCTTTCCCACCTCTCTTTCCCACCTTTTCCCTTATTTTACTTACTCATTTCTGTCTCCCTTCACCATTAGGACTGCTGTTGTCTGTTTCTTTTCATTGTATTCCAGCACCTAGAACACTTAAGTCACTCACCAAATGTGTCTTGCATTAACTAATTAATGACTGCATAGTTAATGAAAGGGAGACAAGAGGCATTGCAAGTAATACAAGTCAGTTGATAAGAGTCAAAATTAAGAACAAAATAGAGGGTACAGAAAAGAAAAGATTCAGGTGTAAGATAAGGACTGTGTGGTGACCTCTTGAATGTGAGAAAGACCAAGAGAGAGCAGGTGCAGCTAATTTCTAGGTCTCCAACTTAGGGTACCAGATAGATAGAAGTGAATCAATTCACCAATTTTAGAAATAGTTGAGAGTGTAGTACTGGAAGAAAAGTTCAGTTTCAAGGAGGGTTTCTTTTTTTTTCTTCTTCTTAGATTCTACTTTATTTGGTAAAACCCAGAAACTAACAACCAATTCACAGGCCCCCACCTCCTTCCCTCTGAAGAAAGAAGTTCCCAAAAGACAAAAAGGCTGTGGCTTGGGTATCACCCACCATTTCCAGGTTTCATACTTGGGCAACTCATGGCCTGATGGTCAGGCCTCCAGACCCAAAGCTCTCAGGCAATAGAGAAAGCTAAAGGAAGCTCTCACTTCAGAGACAATGAACCCATCTCACCTCTCTTCCCCCTACTCACGGCCTCCCTGCACCCCCAACCTAAATAAAAAGATAGCAGAAGACAATGCATGAGTGTCATACAAACACACACACACACACACACACACATATACACAGCTTCCTTTCAGCCCAAGGGTTACAAAATCCCTCCCTGAAAGGACAACTGGCAACACCAATCAAGGCTTCATGGTACAAAGTGATGGTTGGAATCCTCTGAGACTGGTAAACATCCAGGGAGAAAATATTCCACCTTCACCCCATTCCCAGACCTCCCACATTTAAGAAGGTTGTAAAGCATCCAGAAGATGTCTGGAGATAACTGGCAATGGCGGGATGAAGCTCAAAGACAGGACTGGGCTGAGGATCTATCCTAGGAAATGTTACCCTATAGCATGCTTGCTGAAACTATGGCATAAAGTGGGATTATCGAGGAAGAATGCTTCGCAGGAGAAGACAACTGTGGACCAAATCTTTGTTATCATGATACCTGAAATCTAATTTAAAAGGATACAAAATTGTCTAAAAGTCCTTGATATGCATATGCATCTGAATTTGCAATTACCCTGTCACTGTTTTCCTCCATTCTTACAGGTGATGGACATTGTTGCCAATGGCTCTATTAATCCACAGCCCTATATTGGTTGTAACTATGTGTCAGTGGCAAAGATTAATTAATATTCCTAAATAATTTTGATATATTAATGTAAGATTTACTTCCAAATTATAATTAAATCAACAATTATTTTATTGCACACTTACTATGTGTAAGACATAGTCCTAGCACTCAATGGGTGTTGATCCCATTTGCTTCCCCCAAACGAAGTCAGAAGAGATAGGAGTCCCGAAACTTTCCTGTCTCCTATAGTATGAGGGAGGAAGTGTATGTGAAAGGAAGAGCATGTGCTTTGATTCAAAGCAAACTAGTTTCAATTTTCAGCTGTCACTCTTGGGTAATTTTGAGTTATTTACTCTCTGAGCCTCAGTTTCCCTATGTTCAAAACAGGGACCATAATACCTGCTTTACAGTTTTGAAGACTGGCACTACACATGTACAATGCCTGACACTTAGACTCTCAAAACTATAGAATAAGTTTTTCAACATTACTGTGACTTTTCCAAGTTAATAAAAGAGAGCAAACGAAAGGGGGAAGCCAGTTAAACATGTTACAACTCAATGATTTGTTTTGCTTTGTTCAAATGCAAGCACTAAAAATCTCAGTGGTCAGGAACTGGCTTTAAAAGCAAAGTATTTTCAGGGCGCCTGGGTGGCTCAGTCGTTAAGCGTCTCCCTTCAGCTCAAGTCATGATCCCAGGGTCCTGGGATCAAGCCCTGCATCGGGCTCCCTGCTCCGCGGGAAGCCTGCTTCTCCCTCTCCTGCTCCCCCTGCTTGTGTTCCCTCTCTCGTTGTGTCTCTCTCTGTCAAATAAATAAATAAAAATCTTTAAAAAAAAAAAAAAAGCAAAGTATTTTCTTGCACAGATTTCCATTGCATTGAGTCAGAATTCAGTGTTTGCAAACATGTTATCTCTAATAGTTTACAAAGTAAATATTGTGCACAATTTAGTTTGTGTTGGCATAAGCTTTGTAATCAACCACATACAGAGGTTCAATGACAAGTTGCGTTACCAACAAAAGAGTAGATATTTCTTCAGCTGTTTCTACAGGGTGGAGCAACCCATTCTTATGCAATTAATTATGGCTTGTGAGATTAAGGTGATTTGAGCTCCACACCCTTTGTTTATTGAGTCATATGTTTCACGGTGCTTTTTAGTCATTGAGTTTAAGCTGTTTTCCACGAACTGAAGCGAAGTTGGCGCTAAAGTCATTCCCATGGGAGCCTCATCCAAGCTAAAGCAGCACGTGCTGACTCTAGCCTTTGGTTTTTGTTTCTTGGCCTCCAGCTTACTTCCTGTTTCTCAGTACTTCTCTCTCCACACTCATAAGTCTTGACACATTAGTTCATCTCTGGTTGAGGAGAAGGATCAATCAGTTTGGAAATTATTCAGGCTTTTGGGTTTACCCTGGACTCCAACTCTGTCTCCCCTTGGCTCTGCCATTACTCAGGAGCCACTGACATTTACTGACGTCACAAATGCCAAACACCGTGTACTTGTGATTGCATGTCACCGGCACAGAGACCACACAAGGTGACACGTGAGTAAACTGAGTCTCAAAAATCAGCAAACGTCAAAGTGCCAATTTCCTCCAATTTGAAGTTTACCGCAGTAGTGGTTTCCAGATGTTGGACTCTGGACCAGTGCCAGTGAAAGTCAGTTTTCACCAGTATAGCAAAATGAACAAAGAAGAGCAATGTAGTAAAAAGATATCATAAAGCTAAAGCTACGTCATTCATTTTTTGTTAGCCTGAGACAATCCTTCCTACTTCTAGCCTCTTAAATGCCCCTTCATTAAATGATAATGTTTGAGCATGGTCGGTTTTTGTATGATTAATGTGTTTATTCAACAAAATTGAAAGTTGGCAAGTCTCGGTCTGCCTCCAACAATCTCTTGATATGTTACTGGTCCCAGAACCACAGAAAACGATGTGCAGGTGGTACACTGCAAAATACCAGGAAGTGCCCTTCTATGAGTCTCTGAGTTGTGAAGAGCCCAAATAACATCAGGTCTCCCTGCTATGAAACCTAAATGTCTGCGAATCACTAACCCTCAGAGCATTCTCTTCACACTTATACCAGAAGGTTGGCAAAACAAATAGGAAAAATGAGAGACTATATTCTTGCTAAATGTAACTGTTTTTCAGCTATGTTAAGGCCTTAAATCTGAAACATGCTCAGAAGTTAACACATGCAACAAATATTTATAAATATAAATATTTATGAACCACCTATTTATGGTAGGCACCCTGCGAAGTGTCTGAAACATAAGCATGCATGCATGCTTTCCCCTCCAGAGGCACACAGCCTAGGAGATAACCTATTTAACTAGAAATATATTTCCTAACATAACCTCATTGATATTCAAGACAGCCTGTGCGGCAGGTATTATTAATCCCATTTGTCAGACTAAGAAAGTCTCAGATGAATGACAATATGACCTCCATGCAAACAAGGGAGAAAACAGAAATTCACACTTAGCTCTTCTGGTTACCTCCGCAGTGCAAGTGTATGTGGTTGTGGGGAGGGAGGCACTGAAGAAGACAGTACCTGGGCCACGTGCCTAATAGTTACCAGATACTGTATTAGTACAAATCTATTGGCTTACACTGCAGCTGATAAATTCATGGAGGAAAAATAGTAAGTCACACAAATCATCTGCTGTTGGGACAGTTCTGATTCATTTCAGGGGCTTGCTACTCTCCTGGGCCTGAGCACTCAACCTCTGGTCACACCCCCAGTTTTAATAATATAGAGAATATGACGGGGAGGAATGCTACTGTTCTGACTCCCTCCACCCCTCTCCCCACCCAGAATGACTCCTCTTCTGTACACCACTGGTGATGGTACCCAGTTAAGGGAGCTTTACCATAGTAAGTGTCCAACATAGGGTCTTGGAAAGGCAACAAAACAGTACAATTAGTTGTTAGTGTTGAGAACCTCATCAACTGGCAGAAGGGAAAATAATTGCAAGGCATAGGTTCGATTTACTTATTCTTCTACCAAACTACCAAAATGTCAGCATTTTTGTGCTGAAAAAAAATTGAAAGTCATTAAGGAGAATGTTGTTATTTCAGGTTCATTTCCAGGATTATATTCTGATCAAGAATCACGTTGTTTCCTATAAATAGAGCTATGTTCAGGCTGAAACACATAGGAAGGCAGAAAATGTTCACGAGCACTGAAATAATGGCTTCTCTGCGTGAAAGGATTAGTCTTTGACCATTTTCTACTGTTTTAAGGCCAGCACGGATGCCATCAACCTCAAGATTCCTGAATCCATATGTGGTGTGTTTTACTGTTGTGGTGGGGGTGGTAATCTTGGCGGTAATCACAGCTCTACTCATCTACTTTTTAGCTTTTGGTAAGTACTAGAAGACTAAAAGGACCACTTTTCAAACCAAATAACTAAATACACCTTCAAATGAAAAGTTTGGCGTTCTCTCTTTTATTACCACTTTTATTTTTTAATATAACATAATTGTATGTCTTATATATCCCTAAATATATGTTTGTGTCTATATTTTCCCTCAATCAGTACTTTTTTTTTTTTTTAGCATAACAAACCCTTATTACTTAGGTAAGAATTATTCTAGCCAAAGGGGAAAAAAAACCTCTTGATTCTTTTCTGACACTAGAATTTGTCTATTTTGTTTTCTCATTTAATATCATGATTTCCTTCTTCATATATTAACCTGATGAAATTGTAAAAGTGAAATACTGCAAAGAATTTTAAGTTTCAACATTAAAAATTTGAAAGTATTTGTTAATTCATGATCTTTCTCCTGATAAAACAGCCTTGGGAGAAAGATGAGGAGTAAAAACAAATTTTAAAAAGGATCTGTTATTTTATTATTTCTCTTAGTATTATTATATCACAAAAATATAGGACACATGGAGAACAAACAATATAAAGAACACATGATACCCTGCTTACTCATAAACAACATTCCTTAATATCTCAGTGAACATTCTTTCAGTTGCTTTCATGTAGATAAATAAAATGTGTCAAATTCACTAGATAATATATGCTATAATCTGCTTTTTTCACTTAAAAATGCACTTTGGTATTATTTTATTTCAGCTATAATTCTGTTAAATCATTTAAATCCTACGTGTGGGTGTGTGTTTAGGTATATGGGTATGTATGGGTGTAGAGAGACAGAGAGAACATAATTTATTGTATGTTCTATTGTAAATAGGCAAAAATGCTTATTTATGTGAAAGTTGAAAAACTCTCAATGGCACAATAAAATTACCAACATTAAGAAAACCAGTAATAATGAATAATCTTTTCAGCCAAGCTAATTATAAAATTGTGGCTACATTTTGCTATCAAATCACCTGGAATCAACTACATCTAAGGTGATTACAGAGGCAAGAAACCTCAAGTTTACGATTAAATTAGTGAATTTTCACTCTTAATGGCACTGTATCGTCACACAAGTTGAGGAGTCTAGGTTTATCCTCTGCACCATTTGTGGCCCTTGAAAGACTTATTCCTCCACCACAAAGGACTATATTACCCTTTCACCAGGATCTCTAACTCTTTCCTCTGATGGAGATACTTCTCTGCATAAATTATGCTTACGAGTGATCAAAAGAAAGCAGGGATTTTTCCTAAGACAGGTTAGGTTATTATGTCCATGTTCATAACATTTCTAAGATGTGTACAGTGAGTTTTAGAAATATTTACTTTCTTCACCCCGCTGAATATGTCCTCTGGCAGACATTCTTTGGTAAAAACAATTCACATCGGACAACCAATTAGTTATCTTGTTCAAAGGCTTATTTTCTAGTTTATTCTAAAAAACTAACAAGTCACTGAGTTCTCTAAAATGATTATTATTTGAAACCATTCTTAAAATTATTCAGAATTACTCTGGGTTATTCTTTAGTGTTAAATGAATAATAGCATATTATAGACATTCATTAATACTTCTTGAATGAATAAATCTGCAATCATAAATCTCCCTAAAATATAGGAAAAATGAAAATTATGATACTTCTGAGCAGTTTAATTTCACAAATAATGCTGCTCTGATTTTCCTACATCCTTAACAATTTCAGATCTGTCATTTTTTTAAAAAACTGAAAGCAAGGGTGCCTGGGTGGCTCAGTTGGTTGGGCGACTGCCTTCGGCTCAGGTCATGATCCTGGAGTCCCAGGATCGAGTCCCGCATTGGGCTCCCTGCTCGGCAGGGAGCCTGCTTCTCCCTCTGACCCTCCCCCCTCTCATGCTCTCTCTCTCTCATTCTCTCTCTCAAATAAATAAATAAAATCTTTTAAAAATAAAAAAAATAAAAATAAAAATAAAAACTGAAAGCAAAATAATTTTATCATAGTTACATTTATAGTAAGTTTGGGGTTTTCTTTAAGAGAAGCAATTTTTTTAATTGTGTAATATAGCATCCTATAATCCTGAATAAATTAAGGTTTAAAGTACTTAGTAGTGAGACTGATTCTCCTTTTCTTTGTTTTACAGATCAAAAGTCATACTTTTACCATAGCAGCTTTCAAATCCTAAATGTCCAATATAGTAATCAGTTAAACTCACCAGGTACACAGGAATATAGGACTTTGAGTGGAAGAATTGAATCTATGGTAAGTTAATATTTGTATTTGCTCTTTATTCCATCATAAAACAAATTTGATAATAAGTCTAATATTTTGTGATCTATTTGTAATTGCTAAATGTTCTGCATATTTTTCCTCCTTGAATATTGAAAGGTGTGTTTCTTTGTGCTTTTTCCAAGTTAATTTGTTAGTATACTGGTTCTTCTTTACATTTTTTTAAGTCATGAGTGTAAAGTGCTAGAAGACTCTTGAGTAAATTCATATTTTATATGATAATGACTTCAAAGGCTGGAAGTCTACTGTTTGTGCAAGTTGAGCATTTACTACTGCTCTCCTTGAGATTACCTTTTTAAATCCTTTCCATTTTGCCTTCTTTCCTTTTTCTTACCCAACTAAACACACAGGTAGCAGGTGTTAAATAACATGTTTGCGTGTCAATAATGACATAGTTTAGACAACATCCTACTCTGGTTCATTGATAGACAGAGAAAATAAGCAAAACAAGATCAGGCTTTCACTTGAAGAGGCCCACCAGGAAACCTCACAAGTGGACCCTTTTGTATTCATTTATGACCATGGACCAGAGTCTGGCCTTTAGTCCGCACAGTCAGAGTTGACCAGTCTCAAGGTTGCTTACTTACCTTTTTAAAGAGTCCTAAGAATATAAATTAATCCAATGTCTCTAAAACGTCAGCATGTAACAGAATCACTTGACAGGCTTGTCAAAACCCAGATTTCTGGGCCCTGATGTCAGAGTCTCTGATTCAATAGGTCTGGGCTGGGCCCAAGAATTTGCATTTCTAAGTTCCCAGGTGACGCTGATGCTAATGGTCCAAGACCACACTTTGGGAACCACTAAATTAATCTATAATGAGAGCTCTTATGGCTGGGAGACTAAATCATTGGCTCGTCTAACACATTTTTCCCTAGAGGCAAACTTCGCTAGAAGCCAAGTTATGAAACAACTGCTTAGTTTAATGGGATTAGAGCAAGGGAAGTTAGGTATATTTAAATGTTTAATGAGATCAGAATAAACAGCTGAATTAGTGATTTGGGAAGAGAATCTATGAGAGTTCCTATGATTTTCCTTGTTTTTGAGAACCTTGACAGTTTTGCAAAGTACTAGCCAGTCATTTTATAAAATCCCACAACTGGGCCTTTTTTGTTTGTTTGTTTTCTCTTGCTTAGAGTGGAGTTACAGGTTTTGGGGAGGGAGGAAGATCAAAGAGGAAAAGTGTCATTTTCATTCCATCACATGAAGGGGGTTCATTACACTGTCAGTATGACTTAGCACTGTCGACTTGATCACCCAGCTGAAGCAGCATTTGTCAGGTTTCTATATCGTACAGTCATTCCCTCCCTTTTCCATACCATACTCTTTGGAAAAAAGATACTATGTCTAAGCCATGCATAAGGAGTAGAGGAGTGGGGAGCTATGCCTTGAATATTTGAAGAATATTTAAAATTCTTCTATTTGTCTATTCTCCCCATGTATTTATTCAACCACTTGCTTGTATCAATATAGTGGTCTTTGCATTTTTAAGATTAATTTTTAGGCTGCACTCCAGAAGTGCTCCAGTTTACATTCTCACCAGCAGTACATAAGTCCACATAGGTATGCTTATTTCCCCACAGCATTAACACACAGCATTGTAAATCATTTTAATTGTTGCTAATTCAGTAGGTAAGAAGTGACATCTCAATCTTATTTTGGTTTACATTTCCTTAATTACTAAGATTTAATCTGGTACTTCTTATATTAATAGGTCATTTTTATAACTTCATTTGTGAATTGCCTGATCACAACCTTACCCATTTTCTTACTGGAGCACTTGTCTATTTTATATGGATTCAAAGCGAACAAACAAACAAAAAAACAGTTGTCCTTATCAGAATATTAAAGTCTGCCTGTCATTCACATTGCATATATTTCTCTGATAATGTGATTTGACTGTCAATCTTGTTTATAATGTAGGGGTTTTTTAATGTTAAACATTTAATTTTTCATATAGCCAAACTATCAATCCTTTTTATGATTTCTCACTTTTGTGTCAGGTTAAAAATGGCTTTCTCCACTCTAAATACTCTTTAAAATATTCACCTTCATTTTCTTTTTATAATTTTATTATTTCAGTTTTTATAATTTTATCTTTTATTTGTCTACAATTTACTTTGTAGTAAGGTAGAGATCCAGGTTTATCCCCAAAATAGCTAGGTGGTGGTACCAAAAGAGTATGTTCAATAGTGCAATGGATTTATATGTCATGCCACCCTTATTATACACTAAATTCCTCCTTTTCTTTATTCTGTACTCTCCTTGTCCTCACTGATTGATCTTCGCCTGTACCAGTACCAAGCTATTTAGAGTGCTGTGGTTTTACAATATATTTACACATCTGGCAGAGAAAGAGTTCCCTTGAAATTCTTCTGATGTATGATTTCCACACTCTCATTTATTTATCCTTCTGTGAAAACACTTTGAACATTTAAAACGCTGTATGAGTAATACTCTAATGCAGTGCTAATTTATGGTTTACAAGGCACTTTCTAACCCTCATTTCACAACAGCCACATGAATTAACAAATCATTTTTATAGATGGGTAAAGTAAAGGTTGTGAGATTAGGAGACATGTCAAACATCAGTCAAGTGGAGAGTGGTAGAACCAGCATTCAAACCAAGGGCTCACAACTCCAAATCCAAGGATCATGCCATTTCCCAATGGTAACATGAGTACCATCATTATCCTTGTCCCATAGACAATGTGTTATACTTAATGAGCAGAAGAATAGTCCCAGAACCTTCTGTTCTATTAGGCAATTCACGTCTCTTTTCTAGCTCTCAGTTTACTCATCAGTGAAATAAAATCATGGGACCAGATGATTTTTATACTACATTCTAAATCAAAAAGTCTATGATTTTGTGACTTTCGAGCATGATATTCATCCATCTGTTTTTCCTATCCTGCCCCCCTGGTGCCACTTCTCTGTGTCCTTACAGGATCACCCTCCTCTACACTGACATTCAATGTTGAAATTCCCCGAGGCTTTGACTTCCCGCTCCATGAGCATTACTTCAACCAATACTTATCTAATGACTCACTTGGTCTCGAGCCCAGACTTTTCTTCTGTTCTTTGGAACTTTTCACCCAACTGCCAGCTTAATATCTCTACTTGGCTGTTTTTTTTATAAAGATTTTTATTTATTTATTTGAGAGAGAGAATGAGAGAGAGAGAGCACATGAGAGAGCACATGAGAGGGGGAGGGTCAGAGGGAGAAGCAGACCCCCCGCTGAGCAAGGAGCCCGATATGGGACTCGATTCCGGACTCCAGGATCATGACCCGAGCCAAAGGCAGTCACTTAACCAACTGAACCACCCAGGTGCCCTGTTTTTTTTTTTTTTTAATCTCATATTTATCATGTCCCAAAATCAAACTCATGATCTCACCACACCATAGTAGACTTTTTCTAATAATCCTGTCCCCATTAACGTCAATGTCACTGACTCAGTTTTCCAAGCCAAAAACCCAGAATTAATCTTTGATCCACTGCCCTCTATCATTCCAAATATCCAGTCCATTACCAACTCCTGTAGGTTTTATGCCCTCTATTTCCCTCATCTCCATTCAATTCTCTTCATACCTAACACCATGCCCTTCCAAAGCCATCACCTCTACTCTGAAGTACTAAAATAGTACAGATAATTTGCATTATTTCTTCCCTAAAATTGAATATCCATATGCAGCAAAAGAAATTATTCTCAGGGTGCCTGGATGGCATAGTCAGTTAAGTGTCTGACTCTGGTTTTGGCTCAGGTCATGATCTCACGATCTTGAGTTCAGGCACTAAATCATGCTCCGCACTCAGCAAGGACTCTGCTTGAGATTCTCTCTTCTTCTCCCTCTCACCCTCTCCACTGCGCTCTCGCTCTAAAATAAATAAATCTTTTTTTTTAAAAGAAATTATTCTCAAATTACAAATCTGACTATATTATCCCTTTGTCTAAAACACTTCAGCGACTTCCCATTATTTATGATAAAGACCAAATTCTTTACACACTAACAGGGTCTGGCCTTTCTCCCACCCTAGCCTCCTTGTTCTCCATGCTGCAGTTGCACTGGCCTCCTTCCATTCCTGAAACACAGCCTGTGTGTTCCCACCTTGGGACTTTGCACGCACCATTCACTTCATCTGTGAGGCTTTTCCCTTCCTCTTCAACTAGCTAACTCTGATTCTTCCTAACAATCTCAACTTCATAAGCATTTCCTCTGAGAAACCTCTCTAATCTCATTGGTTGGATCAAATTCCTCTACTATATTTCCATACTTATCAGTTATAATTTTACTCCAATGTGGATAATAACTTGATTAGTGCTTGTCTGCCACCCTTAAATGTAAGTTCCTAAATGGCAAGGACTGTTTACTTTCTCTCACCATTGTACCCCAGTGCTTGATAGAAGGGGTGTGCAGTGCAAAAGTTGCTCAAAAACTGTTGTTGAATGAGTGACAAAAAAGAACAAGGTCATCTAGAAATAATGAAAGCACCTGTTTGCAAAATACATGGATCAAAACTATGAGTGCATTCTGATTGAATGGGTCTTTCTAAATAAAAGACTTCAGTCAGTATTCATACCTGGGATCAGCTGAAACTTCCCTTTGGTATCAGGGGTGATATTGCAACAAATTCTGCAAACAATTGCCACTCTTTCCAAAATATACCTAGTTATAGTCCCACAAACAAAGTAGGACATAGGAAGAAAAAAAAAAAACCAGTATCAATTTGAGATTAATCTTATCACATCAATTTATACCAGCAGGGCTTCTGGGTAAAATTCATTTCAGATGCATCCATTCAACAAGCATTGATTGTTCCTTAATGCCTAAAAAAGAATTTGGTACACACTTGACATTCAAATATTTTTTGAGTGAATAAATAAATGATGCATTCAGTCTGTTGGTTCCCGTGTCAAGTCTTAGGGAGACAAAATGAAGACATCACTGCAGTCAGGAGCTCACAGTGGTCTCCAAATGGGGTTGTGCATTCCAGGAAGGGATTCACAATAATTAATTGTGAATACTCAAATGCTCAGATATCACTCCACATGTGTTTTTCCCATAACGAATACTTTTTAGAACTTTGTTACTATTTAACAAGGGCATTGACACTGGAACCCTTGTTCGGTTTAAGTCAGCTGGTCAGGCAATGTGTGAGAAATCTTGAGGAAAGAGGGGACGGGCAGTAACACAGCAGAACTGACTAGGTTTTAGGGTATTTACCTGCTCTGAGTAGATTTCAGTGACGTGCAGTTTCAACTGGATTTAAAGATTATATTATCTAGTTTTCAAAGTAAACTGAATCAATAAGGGAAACAGAAAATCATGCAAAACACAAATTTTAAAACCCGCAATTTGGAGATAACTCTAATATGCAAGGACAGTAATGAGCAAGTAAAAGAACAGTAACATAATGTCAGAACTGACACTTTCCTTCTCCTGACCAGAGCCAAATTACCAGATGAAGCAATACCTTTCTTAGAAGACACATACACACATGTACACACCCTGTCTCTTCAAGATGTAAGTGAAAGAAATAAGCCACATTTTAAATAAAACTCACAGCACGGAGAGGAGACTGAAAACCTGTGTTTAGCAATGGGTTGATCATTAGGTGTTTGGATTTTCTTCTGTTTTACTAAAAATGAGGCATGTTATCTATAAAAGTGCTTAGACATGCACACATAAAAATTGGGGGAAAGGATTATCATGTTTGGTTGATTTTGAACACATTTCTTTAAAAACATATAAAATGAAACACATTTCATTTGGTTTGCAAGGATAATCAATTGACATCAGGGAAGATGGAAAGTCACTTGCTAAATTTCAACAAACCTTTGCACAATGGGTGGGAAGGACTGACAACTTCGTGTCATGATTTATTAAGTTCTGTTGGTGATGTACTTTATGCATTTGAGCCACATAATTGTGTGGAAACTTCTTCAGCACTTCAAACCAAGTATTTAAATTAAACTTAGAATCATAACTTTGAGTCATTTTATCACAAAGTGTTTCAAAAATTAAAAATTCTATTCAGTAACATTAACAGTGAAAATATTATTATTAAATATAAATGGAATAAAATTCCTAAATGTTTGTTCTGTAACTCAACCTTTTTAATTTCTAATTTTGTCAATGTTTTATAATATATATTGCTAGCAGTACAGTATTACTACATGTATGTAATTTATAAATAAATATATATGTTTTGGCTACTCATGCACAAAATGTTTTACCCATAGGAGTGCATAATCAAAAATATTTGGAGACCATTGTGGTAACAGATCATATTGCCACATAGTTTATCTTTTTCTTGAAAACTGAGCTTTCCAGATCTTCTGGTTAAACAGAAGAGAAAGTGGTAACTGGAGGGTGGTTGAAATCACAAAACAACATTATTTCTATTATTCAGCTCATAAATAATATGAACAGAACTATAGCTACCAAGGAAGAAGACACTGAAAATAAGGTGCTTTGTTTTCATGATTAGCTAATAAGATCTTTTCTCTCTAAGGATGAAAATGTGTGATAATTACAAAAATTCTATATATAATTTTACCCTTTAATGACTGGTCTACTAACAAATTCAATGATTCATTTTGTTGGAATTTAAAAAATCCACATCTCACTTCAATTCTTATTAACGATGAATATTACTGAGGTATGAGGATTCTAGTCTATACTAGAATACTGAGATAGTATTGTTACCCTCAATCAGGAGGGAAATATAAAATAGTTCTCTTTTATCATTGTTTACTTGATTTTTGTCCAAGGTAATGAAAGGGTCAATAGTGCAGATGACAAAATCAAATGAGTGTGAAACTTAACTTGTTTGACCCTTTGAACAGTAATAATTTTGAAGAAAGGGAAAAGGCCAAAAGGTTGACTGTAAAGCTCACTAAAAGTAGATGCATAGTCTTTGGGAGTTGCAGTAGTCGACTGTATACAGATAATTTTTTTAATACACTTCTGACTATACAATTATAGATGGAAAAACTGAGAGGAAGAAAGGTTACAAGACTCATTCAAGTTCTCATAGCAAGCTGACTTATCTCTCTGTTCGTCAACTTCCCTTTCCACTAACCTATTGGAATTCTCTACAATCATCTGCTCACTGATTTTCTACCCAACATTTGATAAATTCTAAAGACAGGGCCAATAACATTCCACTCTGGGAAATATGGAATCTTATCCATGGTGCTCTTCTTTTATCCTTGTATAAATATGGAATCTTATCCATGGTCCTCTTCTTTTATCCTTGTATAAATACGGAATCTTATCCATGGTCCTCTTCTTTTATCCTTGTATCTTGATATCAACCAATTAATCAGTTTACTTTCTTTATGTTGCTAATTATCTTAGTCTTCACTAAAGTTTTCCACATAGCAAAAATGTCATAATTCAGGTGGATTTTTTTACTTTGGTCCAGTCTAGCCTGTTGCCAGTATAATGCCAAACCATGAATTAAAATATAATCACAGGAAACATTTATCCAAATTCTAGCAATTCCTTCAGCTTTAGGTCAGTTCCTTTTACTTCTGTTAAAATCAAGTAAAATTAAAGTTAAATCATTTTATTAAAATACTTCCTATAATATACTATATTAAGAAGCATATTAAAATCGATCCTTCTTTGTAGTTCACTGGAATATAGTTCACCAAATGACAGCAATCGTTAATTCTAGATCATAGAATTTGAGATTTTTTTTGTTTTCTTCTTAACACTAATATTTCCTAAATTTTTAAAAAAGGAACATGAACTATTTCCATAAAACCAATAGTCTCATTATTCTTTAAAATATTCAAAGCCTCTCTGAAAAGAAAGAAAATTATCATTTCGTCAAACAACTGGTTGGTCTGATACCAGCCTAAGGGAAAGGAGATTTTAAAAGATACAATGTGGTATAAAAGAGATTGCATAAACTTTACAGTCTCAAGAAAGATTGGTTTCAAATCCTGGCTTAATATAATATTCAGCACACTACTTAATTTCCATGTCCACGTCTCCCTTATTGCTGCCTCACAGTACAAGCCAATGGAATCCACTCCTGCATTAGGAAACCTTGGTACCTCTGACTGACCCTGCATTGTGGGAGAAGCACTGCAGTCACAGAACCACCCCTAGTTCACCATGAAGCTGAGCTTTATAACTCAAGAACACCATCCTTGTTGGGACTGAAAAATGACTCAGGGAGACACTTAAGGTTAGGTCAGGAAATTACCAACTGATGTTAAAAATAACGTCAGATGCTTAGGTATTAGTCATAATTAACAAGGAAAAAACTGCCCTTTGCCTCTTTTCCCCCTTTTCATCACTCAATTTAATCTGGTGTTACTCATTTAAAAACAGTGGTTGAGGAATCACACAAATGTAAGTTGTATCATGGACTCCCCTAGTGTTGGCTTGGCATCGGCCCCAAACCCCTTGGGAATAGCCACCAAATCACACTGAGTAAAACATCTAATGTTGAGATGACTTCTAGTGAAGACGCATCCTGTCCATTATCATCTTTGTATCATAGGCAAAGAAATAGGCCCTGCCTCAGAAGGCTGTATCACTGGCCTAAATCAATCTCATGTGTTCTGAGAGGGAGTTGAACTAAACTGAACTGAACTGAAAACTCCAGTCCCTATTCCTCATTAACTTAAGTTCTGTGTTGCAAGATTGGGAGGAAGAAGGGAGGGGAAGAACAACTGGAACTACAAAGAGGTTTTTTCCTTTCTTTCTACAGATCACTAAAACGTTCAAAGAATCAAATTTAAGAAATCAGTTCATCAGAGCTCATGTTGTCAAACTGAGGTGAGTGGAACTCTATAAAAAATATATAAGCTTAGATTCAATTTGGCCCATTTGACTTTTGTTCACAGCATGGATAATGAATGAGGCACTCACACAATTTGTTGCAATATTATGAAAGAAGTATCATGGGCAGCTTAAAAAACAACGCCAAAACAAAAACAAAACATGCTACATATGATCTATTTACTAATGTAAATAAATATATCACTTCAATAGGAAAGGAAGAAAGTTTAAAGAGAGTCGGGTGAAGGTATGGTAATAAAGCCATCCAACTGTATAAATCCAGTGGATCCCATTCACAATCCAGCATATGTAAACAGTGCCTCTGGAGTTGTGCAATGCTGTGGTCCTGGGCATATTCATCCAAGATCAGAACACTATGACCAACATCAAGCTTTTTGGTTTGTATCTGCCTGGAATGCTCTAATATAAAGGATGCTGTGGCCAAATCCAGGCATGTCTGGCATGAATTAACAATAAAGGGAGTAACAGTATGCATTCTAGTTATTTGACAGTCCTGCCTTAGTTGAATGTGTACTATTTGTGTGATGTGATGAGAAAGGCCCTCCCAACAAAAACACTGATCCTACCACAAATACTTCAAATGCGCACATTACCCGATCCTTCAAAAAATAAGCAAAAGTCCTTTGAAAGGGAGGTATTTCTCAAATACCATCACCACAAGAAAACTAATATTTCTTATTTTCTGAAGAATCAGTAAGTCCCAGGAGCATGAACATCTGGTCAGATAAATTTTGTTAAGAAATGAGAGGAGTAGGAAGAATCCATGGGAAGAATATTTACCAAAATGAACTTCAGTCAGTTCAATGCACATTCCCCTTAGCATTTTCCTGTAAAAATCTCTGTATTAGCCACTAGCTCTCAAAATCCATAGGACTGGATGAACCATCTGCATTTTCTCCCCTTTTGTTCCCTTCCCACCTACTGCTCAATCCCCTACAATCTCGCTTCTAATGCCACCACAAAATGCTAATTACCCTTGCCAAGTTCAACAATGACATCCAAGTCACAAGCTCCAAACAAACTCTATCAGTCTTCTGTTACCTCTCAGTGGTATTTTGTGCTGTTGTATTTTCAGTCCTCCTTGAAATAGTACCATCCTGTAGTTTCTATGACCTGAACACCCTTATTTTCCGCATATCTCTCCCTTCACTCCTCAGTTTTCTTCAGTAGCTCTTATTCCTTCTCTGCACATCCTTCAAATGTTGGACTTCAGCCCGTGTTATCAGCCTCTCATCTTCTCAGCTCACATTCTCTCCTTTCAGTGGCTTCCTTGCCCCCTGTATGTTCATTATTCTCAAAGTTGTATCTCTGGGCCAGTCCACTCCTCTCATCTCTAGACATGAAAGTACACAGCCATCTACTTGATGTCATCATACACGTATCTCACAGACAACTCCACTTGACTGTGTCTGGACCTGAACCTGTCATCTCTCCCCCACCAGAGGTTACTCTTCTACTGTTGCCCACCTCTATCAATGGCATCACTTTCAACCTGTTGCTCAAGAAAGAAATATGCAAGTCACCTTTAATTTCTCCTCTCCCTCAACCCACACATTCAACCATCTAATCTTTCAGTTCTATTTCCTAAATATCTCTAAGATCCATAACTTTTCTTCAAATAGTGCCCTCAACCATTTCTCTCCTGGACTATGAACAGTTTCCTGAATGAGTCTCCTTTCCTCCAGTCTTGCTCCACTCATTCTACACGGCAGCCAGAAAGACTTTTTAAAACAAAATTCTAAACATATTATTCCCCTAGTTAAAATCCTTCTATTGGCCACTCATTACCTTTGCAATATGCCAAATATTATATATAAATATATGCATATCAAAGGTACACGTATTCTTGATATATGTATAATGTGTGTATGTATGTATGTGCATATACATGTACATATACATACATACATATAGACACATATGTGTGTGTGTCTTTATAGATATCTATACATATATATCTATATATATACATATATATATACACATATATATCTATAAAGAGAGAGAGAGAGGGAGGAAGGGAGAGAGAGACATTTTTATACACATATATATAACAAAGTTTATCCAACTGTCCTTTATCTGACTTCCTCTTACCATCTCCACCTCTGGGCTTATCTTTCACTACCCTCCACCTAGACTAGTCTCAGTCCCACTAGACTTCTCTCAGTTCTTTACTATCCTGAACCTCACGAGGGGTTTTCAATATTTTATTTCCAATATTTACATATCCTTATAGGTTAGACATTTCTCCTAAAACAGAAAGACAGCTAGTTATATTTTCTAATGCATTCTGATCATCTTTGCTTTATTTTAGTGATTATCCTTAAAATTTAAATAAGGAGAGCTGGCTTAATTCACGACCCTTCTTTCAGATAATATAAGGAACTTGAAACTCTTGTTCATGTTATTATAAATGTTTTAGTTCCACCCTATTTTAAATGACTCCAAATTAGTCATTGTTATGATAGATTACCGGTTTGCCATTTTCTTTGTTCCTTATTTCTTACAGTACCCTAACCCTCCTGGGTTCAATCCCCTTCTTACTGAAGTACTTCCTTTATAAATTTTCACAAGAGTCCATGAGCTGTAAAGTATCCTTTTTGTTTTGCTTTGATCTAAAAAATGTCCTATTTATCTTCATTCTTGAATAATACTTTAGTGTGGATATGAAATTCTAAGTTAATAGCTATTGTCTCTCAGCAATTTGAAGATAAAATTATATACTGCCTTCTTTGTTGCTATTAAGAAATTGTCCTTCAGTCAAATGTTCTTTGGTAGCGAATCTCTTCTCTATTGTTTGAAAATCTTCCATTTGTCTTTGGAGTTCAGTTTTTTTAATGATGTATTTGCATGTGGGGGGCGTTTCTTTTATTTAGTATGCCTCAGACTCTTGTGATCTAAGGCTTCATATCTTCATCAGTTCTGGATAGTTCTCATTATCTCTTGTAATATTGCTGCTCCTTTATTTTTTGGTGCTCTTCTTTCGTTTTGCATTAGGTAAACATTGAACCTTCTCTAGTCTCTTATCCTCTGTTTGATCTGTTTCATCTCTTTATCTGTGTTACATTTTGTGTGATTTCTTTATTTTTATCTTTCAGTTAACTAATTTCTCTTCAGCTTTGTCTGGTATTTTGTGTAACCCATCCATTGAGTTTTCAATTTTGATTAAAAATTATGACTATGTTTTCCTGTCTGCAAGCTCTAGTTGTTTCTTTTGTGAACCTATCTGGTCTGTTTTGATAATGTCCTATACTTTTCTCATATTTATGATTCCCCCTTTTATGTTGTTAGTCATTTCAAATAAAGTTACCTATCTGTTAATTTTATTATGTGACATTTTTGAGGTTGCTGTCCTCATTCTGCTCATTCTAGCTCATGATAAATTGTTTGCCACCGGAACTGTATGCTTACCTTTAATCCCACTACTATGCAGCCTGGATTTCACATTCAATCTACAGAGCATTTGCTTCTATCAGACACTCTAGGAGGATCAGCAGCACATGGACCTCTTTTTTTTTTTTCCTTTTTTTTGGTTAATTTCTTAAATTTTCTGGAACCATGCAGGTGGTAGTAATGCAAATCCAAAACTTTCATGTAGGTAGGCTCATGATCATGAATTATCAGGACAGTCTCCTTTTTTTCTGTCTAGACCTGGAACTCTGAGACACATAAACTTCTTTATTTTTTTTTTTTATGACATGATGAGCACATTTTTTTTTTCTTTCTGATCCATGCTTTCACTGAGGGTTTAGTTCTTTGAGAATCCTGGTCTTATTTAGAAACCTCATGTTCATCTCCCTAATTAGCACTAGCCCAAAGCCTCCTCTCCAGTATCCATGTAAATGCTACAACTCAAGCTTGTTGGATATTCTAGAGCTTACTACATAATATTCATGTTCTTTATTTTTGGTCTTCCAAGATACTTTAATGTGAGTTTAGCTTTGCATTTCAAATGAAATTTATTATATTTTATCAAGTATTTCTGGCTATTTTATATGGAGAATTTTTAAAAATTATTTAGACTTTCATGTTGCTAGAAATGGAAGCTATAATTATTTCTTCAGTGTCTGCTCCTCTATCTAAACTGCAAAATCCATGAGAATGGCAGGTGTGAATCTTGGTCACTGTTAATTTCTGAAACTAAGAACAGTGCCTAGCACAAGAAGGTAGCTATTTAACATTTGCCAAGTAAATATTAAATTAATATCTGGAATGAATATTATGGCAGAACTGACAATTGAGAGGAGAGGAAGAGGCCTAGAATGAATATGAGAGACAAATTTGTCTATTGCACATTTTCAGAAAAGAAGATGGCCAATGTTAGGTGGATGAAATGATTTACATGGTAATTTACACATAAGGAAGTGGAAATTATATCGATTTTTGATCATTGCAGCCTTTAGTCAAATTATTAAGGTTCATTGTGGAGAATATCTGTGGCTAACTGATACATAGATAAAATTTTAACTTATGACTTTTAGCCACATTAATGCATTTAGGTACTAGAAAATTAACCTGAGCCTTTAAGTCACATAAATTTAAAACGTCTTCTCCTTATAGGTTTGTTTAATGAGGTAAGGGATTTTTTTTTAAGATTTTTGTGAAGTCTAATAATAGCTAATACTTACAGTGCACTTACTGTATGCTGTGTGCTCTTCCCAAAAGTTTTGCATGTATTAATTCACATAATCTTCATAACAACCCACTTTAATGTGAGGAGACTTCAATACAGAAAGTTTAAGAAACAAATAACTTACCAAAGTCAAACAGTAAATGGCAGAGCTGGTATTCAAACTCTGGCATTCTGACTTCAAAGCCAGCCATACTGAATGGTAGATACAGTGTACCATGATTTGAAATCAAATATTTGTGGAATGGCATTGTGATATATCATTAAGTATGCAAACACTGTTATGTGAATCTGTTCTAAAGTTAAATCCCCAAGGGAATTTTTTAATGTTTAATCAATAAGGGTATATAAACAGAACAGCATAAAATTATAATTTTTTATTTTTAATATATTTATGACTTTCAGGCAAGAAGGTAATGGTGTGACAGTAGATGTTGTCATGAAATTTAAATTCACTAGAAATAACAATGGAGCACCAATGAGAAGCAGAATTGAGTCTGTTTTACACCAAATGCTGAATAACTCTGGAAACTTGGAAATAGACCTTTCAACTGAGATAACATGCGAGTACCATTATTTTCTTTTTTTTACCATTTTATCCAAATATATCAACTTAACCAGTTATAATTCATGTTTTAATTTAGTGAGATTGACTTTTCTTTCCTTAGAATTAAACTTTATGAAAACAATATACTATAAAGGTAGACATAATGCATAGTTCATTCTAACATTTAAAAAATCATTTAGCATTCATATAGTAAATTTTATTAGCTAAAAATTCTTTCATTAATTTTCCCTCTCAACACTCCTTATGAGAGATGTTGTTGTCAGGTATTCAATCTGTAGTATGTTATAGAAATGGAAAATAGCTGCTCAAGGTCAGAGAACAATTTAATTAACACTCCACCTCACCCAGAACACAGCATGCAATTGGGAGGCATCTGATAAACTTGTAGAATAAAGGAGAAAATGAGAAGATTTAACAACATCCCTAACTCCTCTCTGAAAATATCTGTACCTCTGACTCTCTTGAATCTATTTCCATTTTTTTCCATCCCTTTCCATTATTATCCATCCCTAAGGGACCCACTCTGGTCCCTTTCTTACATGAGGTGTGTCTGTGTGGCGCAGCAGTTGGGCTCAGGTCATGACCCCGGGGTTCTAGGACAGAGCCCCACTGTTGGGCTCCCTGCTCAGCAGAGAGCCTGCTTCTCCCTCTCCCTCTGCTGCTCCCCCTGCTTGTGCTGTTTGTCTCTCTCTCTGTCAAATAAATAAAACCTTAAAAATATATATTTCTTACATGACTAAAAAAAGACTTCATCAATATGTGCATAGAATTTAAGGACCCTCCTCCAACTTTGTCATGCACTGCTACCTTAATAAACCATGATTCCCTCATAATAAGCTCAACATTAAAGGGATTTGGTTGCCCCCACACTGGACATACCTGTTACAGCTGCACTAGTTGTTAAGATATTGAAATGCTTTCCATGTGTTGGTAAACCACCACTGCACCAGGCCCACAAAGGTATCTTCCCAGCCTCTTCAAATCCTCCCATCCCTACCCTGGACTCCCGGCACGTCCCCCTGTAACTGAAGAGTTAATGCTTAGCACAGCAAGGACTTCCAAGACACTGCTCTAGCTCCATGGTTTGTTGTGTCCTTTCTGACTGGCTGATGCTCCTCCATTACAGTTTGCTTAATCCTCACAACAACCATAGCTTATACTTTTATTGTTCCCACTCAGAAAAGATAATTACCCAGGGTCCTACAATCAGCATGTAGGGGAGTCAGGATTTGAACTCAAGTCTCTCTTGTTCAAAAAATGAAAAGGAGTGGTCAGTTCTTTTTATTTCCTGCCTCCAAAAAGATGTTTGGGCTCCTCTGACACTTACAAAGCAGATGTGATTCCCAAACCCTGTGAAACTTCTGGCAGCAAGGAAGTTTGGATAAACTGATTGTAGAAAGCATGAAAACCTGTCTGAGAAGCTTAGATTTATTTTATAGGAATAAGCTGATTTCTCATTAAAAGTTTTCAAGCAAGGAAAGATATGATCTGACATACATTTTTAGAAAAAACAACCTGGTAGAGATAGACATCTTGAAAAGTGCAAAGGTGGTGTCAGGGAATCCAGATTGAAGGTTATTGTAATAGTATAGATGTCAAATGATGAAAGCACGAACTAAAGTAGTAGACAAAGGGAGAGGGAGGGTGGGCGTAATGCAAAGCATTGTTAGAGGCTAGAAGGTATAAACTCTGAAAACCAGTAAGATGTGAAAATGACAGGAAGGGAAAAATTAGAGACTTGTTTCAGATTTCTAGCCACTGGTAGAAGTGGGATCATTTCCTAAAGGAGGAAATATAAGTAGCAAATTTGGGGTAAATTTGGTCACATTGAGTTTGAGACAGCTGTAGGATGTGCTGAGAAAATGGTTCTATAAGCAGACCTTAAACTACAACAGACAGACCTTCACTATCTGCTGTCAACATATTTTCTGTCTGGGCGCTCCCACCATCTCCCTTCATGCTGTACTTGCACTACGAGCTTTACTGACATGATCATTCCACAAACATCGTGCATCTCCATGCACTTGTACTCACTACACTTTCACCTGGAATACCTTTTTACTGCTTGTCTGTCTGGAAAGTTCCTTTTAGGTCTTCAAAATACAGCTCAAATGTTTTTCTCACCATGATAATTCAGTGAATATCTCAGGTAGCATGATCACCCTCTCCTGTCTCCTCTCCACTTCGCACTTATACTTACTTGAATGATTCCTTGATTAATTTCTAGCTGCAAATTATGTGAAGGCAGATCTCCTGTGTTTTGCTCACTGTTATACCTGCCCTACTAAGAATAGTATCAGTAGAGTAATACATATATATCTATATATACCTACATATATATGCAAGTAAATGAAAATTTAACTTCTCTTATACTATTTATCACATCATATCTCAACAACTTGCTTATGTTTCTGTCTTTCCAACTAAACTGAATGACTTGAGAACAAGAATATCTTTTAAATATCTTTTAAGTATCTTTTAGTGTTTGATGAGAAATTAAAGCACAAACTTTAATATAAATAACAATAAATGGGGAGAAGATTGTAAACCCAGAGATTTCTGGGGCTTATGACTCAGAGATTCTTTCAGCAGGTCTAAGATGAAGTCTAGAAATCTGTATCTCATCAGTCCTCTGAGTGATTCTGATGATGGTTGTCTGAGAACGACATTTAAGAAATTAAGGTGAAATAATATACATTCCTTATTGTATTGATCTTACTTTCACTTTTTTTTTAATACCAGCAATTACTGACCAGGACACAGTACATATTTTCACTGAAGGTAAGTTTCAATATTATCTTATACAAACAGTTTGCCAAAAATAAATAGTAAACGTTCAAGTAGTTGAGCTCTTTGCCAAGGTAGTTTCTTTTTTTTTTAATTTAATTTTATTATGTTATGTTAGTTACCATACAGTACATCATTAGTTTTTGATGTAGTGTTCCATGATTCATTGTTCTTGTATAATACCCAGTGCTCCGTGCAGTACGTGCCCTCTTTAATACCCATCACTGGGCTAACCCATCCCCCCACTCCTCTCCCCTCAAAAACCCTCAGTTTGTTTCTCAGGGTCCATAGTCTCTCATGGTTCTTCTCTCCCTCCGATTTCCCTCCCTTCCTTTTTCCCTTCCTTCTCCTAATGTCCTCCATGCTATTCTTTATGTTCCACAAATAAGTGAAACCATATGATAATTGACTTTCTCTGCTTGACTTACTTCACTCAGCATAATCTCCTCCAGTCCCATCCATGCTGATGTAAAAGTTGGGTATTCATCCTTTCTGATGGCTGAGTAATATTCCATTGTATATATGGACCACATCTTCTTTATCCATTCATCTGTTGAAGGGCATCTCCGCTCTTTCCACAGTTTGGCTATTGCGGACATTGCTGCTATGAACATTGGGGTGCATATGGCCCTTCTTTTCACTACATCTGTGTCTTTGGGGTAAATAGCCAAGGTAGTTTCTATTGAGGTGTTATCTTAATTCTTAGTCCACTCGTGTGGGTCGCTGTTGAGAGAAGACGTTGCTGATTCCACTGGCCCATGGGGGGTAAATAGCCAAGGTAGTTTCTATTGAGGTGTTATCTTAATTCTTAGTCCATTTGTGTGGATCGCTGTTGAGAGAAGACGTTGCTGATTCCACTGGCCCATGGGGGGTAAATAGCCAAGGTAGTTTCTATTGAGGTGTTATCTTAATTCTTAGTCCACTCGTGTGGGTCGCTGTTGAGAGAAGACGTTGCTGATTCCACTGGCCCATGGGGGGTAAATAGCCAAGGTAGTTTCTATTGAGGTGTTATCTTAATTCTTAGTCCATTTGTGTGGGTCGCTGTTGAGAGAAGACGTTGCTGATTCCACTGGCCCATGGAAGGATGTTTAGAAGAAGGAGGTGGCAGCAGTGGCATTCGGTGTCGTGTTTGACCTCAGGAAAATTTTCTTGGCAGCTTCGGGAAGCTTTTCCTACCCTGAGTCTATGGTGGCACTTCTGTAAACTTGTAAATTATGTTTAGTGACACCTTTTATGTGGCTCCTCCTGACCACCAGAATAGCCTGCTTTGCTGTGGATTTAAGTTAATCAAAAAGTAAAATTTAAAAAAATTATAAAAGTGTTGTCAGTTTTGTGTCTCTAATCTGAAGGAAAAGACACGACTTCCCAGTGTCATTCTGTATACTCTCAGGCTAGTACAGCAGAAATATAATCCCTAGAAAACTGCTGCTTCCTTCTCTGGTGATGAAATGTAGTTAGAAATTAGTTCAGTGTACCTCAACAGCTGGCCTATCTCAAATACTTAAGTGATGTTACAAGGTAATGCTACCTTTATGGGTATTTCTCAACTTCATTATATATTTAATTCATGCTTCTTTTTAATGAAAATGTACTTAAGTGATTTACTAAGGAATTTGGTTGAAGGATGCAACAAAGGAACTTACGTTTTGTGTATATTCTTAACGGAAGTCTAGCCCTCCTGTATCTGGAAAGTCTGTTAGGAAAAAATGTCTTTGGATGGATGTCCTATTGAAGCAGTGTCATGACTTTAGAGCAATAGAAATTGTTGTTGGTAATTTACTTCTAATTTCTTAGTAATAGACTGAAAAAAAGCAAATAAACATGGGAATGGGAATTGAGAGGACTTGAATGATCATTTCAGATTAGGCCATTGGAATGTTCATGAGTTTTCTTTCTTAAGATGTTTAAATCTCATTTAGGTACTTAGAAACCCTCAGTTACCCTCAGGAATATCCTGTGGAGGGGCGCCTGAGTGGCTCAGTCATTAAGTGTCTGCCTTCGGCTCAGGTCCTGATCCCGGCATCCTGGGATCGAGCCCCACATCGGGCTCCCTGCTCAGGGGAAAGCCTGCTTCTCCCTCTCCCACTACCCCCTGCTTGTGTTCCCTCTCTTGCTGTCTCTCTCTCTGTCAAATAAATTTAAAAAATCTTAAAAAAAAAAAAAAAGAATATCCTGTGGACCTGAAATAACTCTTTTCCAAGGGCACACTTGGTAATATAGAGTTGGTTATGGAGGTCTGGAACTTCCATGATGAGCTGGATTACCACTATGGAGATTTCTTGATCAGAACAGTTTTCCTCCAACTTCAATGTACACATGAATCACCTATTAGAATGTAGCTTCTAATAAGTTCTGAGGATTTAACGTAGGGTGACTAAGATTAATAATACAGTATCGTATGCTTGAAAGTTGCTGAGAGTAGATCTTAAGTATTCTCGCCACACACACACAAGAAAGAGTTAACTATGTGAGGTGATGAAGGTGTTGGTTGTCTTGATCTTGGTAATCAACAATGTATATGTACATCAACTCATTGCACTATACATTTTAAATATACAGAATTATATTTGTCAATTATTCCACAATAAAGTTGGGGAGGAGGAGAATGCAGCTTCTGATTTGTTCCCTGGTGTGGGTCTTTGAGTTAATTTTTTTTTCAGCTTTGACGTATAATTGACAAAATTGTAAGATATTTAAAGTACATATCTTGATTTGTTATACATATACATTATGAAAATATTCCATCTAGTTAACATATTCATCACCTCAGATATTTAGCCCCCCCTTTTTTGTAAGAACATTTAAGTTCTATATTCCTGCAAATTTCAATTATACAATACAGTGTTATCAACTGTAGTCACCCTGTTACACACTAGATCCTCAGACCTTATTCACCTTATAGCTGAAATCTTTTACACTTTCACCAAATTCTCCCCATTTCCCCCACCCTCCAGGCCTTGGCAACTACTTTCTACTCTTTCTTCCTAGGAATTTGACTTTTTTTTTTTTTTTTTTTTTTTAAGATTCCACAACATATAAGTGGTACTATGCAGTATTTGTCTGGCTTATTTTACTTAGAACAATACCTTCCAGTTTATCCATGTTGTTGCAAACAACAGGATTTCCTTCTTTTTTAAGGCTGAATAATATCCCTGTGTGTGTGTGTGTGTGTGCATGCATGCACATACGTGTGTGTAAATATATATATAAACATTCTCTTGACCCATTCATCCATTGATAGACCCTTAGGTTATTTTCACACAGTGGCAACATCTCTAATAAACTTCCATACTGCAGGTCCACAGACCACACTTTTGAATAGCAAAGCTGGAGAGAGGATGGAAATTTCCTAGTGAACTTGTGGCCCAGGCTGTTAAAACCAGCACTGACCTATCTTAACTTCTATTCATGAGAAACTCCAGAGAACTCTGAAGGTGCTCCAGAATTTGAAGACTCCATGTAATTAAGTTCAGAAATATTCTCTAAAATGCAGTCTCTAGTCAACAGTAGTCACATAAGTACTCTAAAAAATAACACACTGATCATGCTTTTGGAAAGGCTAGCATGTTCTGGGGAAGAATACATAAAAGACAGAAAAGTTGTAAAAGATAGAGAGACTCTGGCAGCATCTCCCAAATGTAAATGAATCATGATCTTCCCAGCTCATTAATGCCCTTGTCTCATTAGGCTGTGGGGCCCATCCAGACCTAATAACTTTGTCTGAGGAGAGGATCCTTGGAGGCACTAAGGCTGAAGAAGGGGACTGGCCGTGGCAAGTCAGTCTACAGACGGGTAATGTTCACCACTGTGGAGGCATCCTGATCAGTAGCATGTGGATCCTGACAGCAGCTCACTGCTTCAGAAGGTGAGGTCACAGCTTACCTACCTGGGAACAACTAGAAGAGACATATACAGAAGAACTCCACCCATACCCCAAGGACTGAACATAATTGGATTTTGCTAAAAATAATTGAATGCAAAAAAATAATGAGTCTTTTCTTCTTATTCATGATAGCAAAAATATTTTTTTTCTCCTTCAGCTTGCTAATTTAATCCTATTTTTCTGTTTCAGGTAATAGTATGCTATCACAATGATTTATATGTCAGAATGTTTAATTTAAATCCTAGCTATGAAAGCTTGGGAAATTTATTGAACCTTTATAAGACTCTTTTTTTTTCCCTAAATTAGGGACATACTATTATCTATGTCTTAGTGTTTTTGACAGGATCAAATACATTAATGTAAACATATGTTAAATGTTAGCAAAATGAATCGCTACAGAAAATTTTCATATAATATTATGTAAGCTGATCAGCAGGCTGATGGCTGATCCAAGACTGTCATATGCCATTAACTAATTCTTTCCAAAACAATTATTGAATATCTACTATGAGCACAGTGTTATCATAGAGGCTAATTAAACACTGCCTGTACTTTAAAGGAGCCTACATTCTAATGTTAGAGATAGACATGCACAAAAATAATGATCAATAATGGTGAGTAGCATAAATAAAATGAATTTAAACAACTTACAGAAAATTCTTCATTGATGTGACTAAAGGCTATTGCTAACATAAGGGTAATAATCTGCCAGTGGAGAGTAGGATGCATAAACTTACTCAGAATAGGACTTTAGACTTAGATGACTAAAACCTGTTAGGTACAGACACACTTTATTATTGGAGCATGCTAGACCCCTATAGTTGCTGGGAACTAAACTCAAAATGTTCACTCAGAAAAGTAAAGACGATCTAAATCAAATGTGCCTCTGACCATAACTATTCTCTTCTCAGACTCACTGAATATCCACAGTCTAAAATCCAACTTACCACATACCCAAAACCCTCCTATCCAATCGATCAAGACTTACTTCTCAAAGCATGAACCTTGAGCTCCAGCCAGATTGAATTATTCTCTTCCCCTGAACTCTACCTACTTTTTCAGGTTTAAGAGCATTGTGCACTAGTCCTGTAAAACTTTACTCCCTCTTAATAGTTTTCTAACAGGTATTATTATGCAGCAGTACCCTCAAATCTGCAAAGGACTTCTTAGAAATAGTGAAGATTTTTCAGAATTTCAATGGGAAGAAATGGAGGAAGGGATATTAACATTTTAGGGAGAAGAAGCAGATTGAGCAAATGCTCTTAAACCTGAAAAAGTAGGCAGAATCCAGGGAAAGAGAATAGTGCAATCTGGCTGGAGCTCAAGGTTCAATCTTTATTGCCACCTGAAAGGCCAAAGAACAATGGCACTAATTGATTTTAATCACCTCTGAATGTGGAAACCAGGAATGCAAATACTTGCGTTAGGAGGCACTTAGCATAATCAAGGATGTAATATAAACTGTACTGGATTCTAAGCCCTACACAGACCCAACCACCAAAAGCTAAGTAAAGGATATCACTATAATGAAAGCCACAGTTACAAATATCACCAATGATTACCAAAGGAATTCATGATTTTAAATGCTTGGAACATCTTCTTTCCTGCTTTGTCGAAGATTAATTAACCATATAATTGTGGGTTCATTTCTGGGTTTTCTGTTCTGTTCTATTGATCTCTGTGTCTATTTTTGTGCCAGTACCATGCTGTTTTGATTACTACAGCTTTGTAATATAACTTGAAGTCCAGAACTGAGATGACTCCAACTTTTCTTTTTCAAGATTGCTTTGGCTATTGGGGGTCTTTTGTGGTTCCATACAAATTTTAGGATTGTTTGTTGTAGTTCTGTGAAAAATGCTGTTGATCTTTTGATAGGGATTGTGTTAAATGCGTAGATTGCTTTGGGTATATACATTTTAACAATATTTGCTCTTCCAGTCCATGAGCACGGAATGTCTTTCCATTTCTTTGTGTCATCTTCAATTTCTTTCATCAGTGTTTTATAGTTTTCAGTGTACAGGTCTTTCACTTCTTTGGTTGGGTTTATTCCTAGGTATCTTCCTGTTCTTGGTGTAATTGTAAATGGGATTCCCTAATTTCTCTTTCTGCTGCTTCATTACTGGTGTATAGAAATATAACAGATTTCTGTATGTTGATTTTGTATCCTGAAACTTCACTTGAATTTGTTTATCAGTTCTAGCAGTTCTTTTGGTGGAGTCTTTCAGGTTTTCTAGATAGAGTATCATGTCATCTGCATTAGTGAAAGTTGTACTTCTTCCTTGCTGATTCAGATGCCTTTCATTTTTTTTTTTTTTTTGGTCTGATTGCTGTAGCATACTTATTTATATTTTTATTCCTGACACTCCCACTGTTTCTTATACAAAGTAGACACTTAGTAATGACTTGTTCAACTCTAACTAATGAAGATAATAGTTACCTTCATTGAGAGCTTACTTTGTGCACCAAACACTGTGCTTGACACACCTGTCTCAATACTTACAAACCGTGTGAGAACATATCATCAATCACATTTTATGCAAAAATAAAATAAGAATTAGAGATAGGAAATAAGTTGCCCTAAATAACACTGTTAATGTATGGCATGACTAAGATTTAAATCTAAATGAAACTTTTTCCAAAATCATGCTCTTATTCACTTTCTGGATAAAAAAAAAAAAAGGAGGGAAGAAAGAGATGAAGAATATTTTCAGAATCTTCTCTGTAAAGACCCTGAGCAAAAGATGTTCAATATGAAAAATTTGTGTAATTTGCTTGCAAACTACTTTTTTTCTTTAGAATTTTTAACAAGCATTCACTCTTTTTTTTTTTTAAGATTTTATTTATTTATTTGACAGAGAGAGACACAGCGAGAGAGAGAACACAAGCAGGGGGAGTGGGAGAGGGAGAAGCAGGCTTCCCACGGAGCAGGAAGCCCAATGTGGGGCTGAATCCCAGGACCCTGGGATCATGACCTGAGCCAAAGTCAGACGCCTAATGATTGAGCCACCCAGGCGCGCCTAGCATTCATTCTTATATAAGCTATTGTACCTTATAAAATTATTTCCTGGATATATAATTTTTATTTCTGTATCAGCTCTATCTAAACTCCACAAAACTCTTAACATTATTATGTAGTTACATTTTATTTTTATTCAACCATAGTAGCAACATTGAGTTAATCAACCCCCAATTCACAGATCCTTTAGATAAATGATGACTCATTTACTAGCTATGTAATCCAGAAATATATACCAAAGAGAAACTGGTCAAATAGTTGCTAGCTGGTGACAAGGATGATAAACACAAAATTCAAATATTCGAAACACTCACAAATTTCCTATTCAAAGTATGTTTTCCTATTTTTTTAGGCAATCTAATCCTCGTCAATGGACTGCCAACTTTGGTGTTTCAATAACATTTCCTAAACAGAGAAGAAGAATACGGACTATTTTAATCCATAACAATTATAACCCTGCAACTCATGAAAATGATATTGCAGCTATACAACTTGATGGAGGCATAAACTTTACCAAAAATATCCATAGGGTGTGTCTCCCAGAGGCTACCCAGAATATTCCACCTGGTTCTTCTGCTTACGTAACAGGATGGGGATCTCAAGAATTTGGTGGTAAGTGTCTCAGGAAAAATAAAACAGCAATAACAACAAAAAGTCTCCTGGTACTTGCTGTTATGTAATTTTTTTTAAATTAGGGAACACCTGAAGGACATATTTTATGGAAAGAAAGATCTTATAATCTGATGAACCCAACCTCTAGTTATTACTGAGTTTCCTCAGCAAAGCAAAGCAATGTCCCTACAAACTATGGGGAATTCTCAAACATAGTAATAGGGACATGTAAGAGAAAGTGATAAAGAAACATGAGTTCTTTATCGGTCTCAAATGTCTCCCCAATAAAGAAAATTTTTAAAAAAATGAAAAGAAGATTTGGATAGGTATTCTCTAAGGGTTTTAACACCCTCTAAGGTATTAACAACCATTAAGGTATTCTGAGATGAAATGAATCCTACCTCTAGAGCAAGAAACTCTACATGTACATAAGCATTGCTCACTCTTGTTTATTGAATGAATAAAATAGGCATAAAAATGAGGGCAATGTGAAAGAACAAATAGGGCCATGGTGAAAATAAGAATATCAGCCAGGATGTGGAAGGATAGCATTAACAATTTCCACATGCTTCAGGTCATGTTGTAGATTGTGTCTCCAAGGAATAATATGAAAGCTTAATTGTCATTGTGTTTTCATGACCCAAAGTAATTTGGTAAAATAGATAAAATTTGTACCAATCACAAAAATGGCAGTGCCATTTTGAAGGAACATCAGTGTAAAATAAATTAGTTCTTTAGCCTTGAAACCAGACTGGTTTCTCTTTCATTGCTAGATTAAAGGTTAACTCAATATGTTATTTTTCCAATTCAAAGTCAGTCAGTAAATAACTTAAATGCTACTAATCAATAGCAGATTTGTTTTGTTCTCAAGGTCTTAGGGGCACTGCATCACAAAGCTAAAGCAAAAAGAAATAAAATAAAATTGATCTGTGTAAAGGGGTTATTCTACTCTACTATAGGAATCTTTTCTGAGAAGAAATTCCTATTTACATCTTCAATAGACTATAAGAAATAGTGTTTGGGATACATTTATTCCTTCCCATGTTTTCCATAGAGTTATTAATTTATCCATTTTATTTCTGCTTTTATACTTCACAGGTAACACAGTTTCAGATCTACAGCAAGCACGGGTCAGAATAATAAGTAATGATGTATGTAATGCACCAACTAGTTATAATGGAGCTGTATTGCCTGGAATGCTATGTGCTGGTCTACCTCAAGGTGGAGTGGATGCATGCCGGGTAAGTTCATGACAATGTTATCACATCATTATCCAAGTTTATAAGTACTTACTAGCCTGTGACACTGTGATAGTCACAGAGTAACATAATTATAATACACAGCCCTGATCCTCTAAAAATTTGTTGTCTAGATTTTCGAGTTAAAACTGTTTTATGAAGGTGATCCAACACTAATTTTGAGAAACCAAATTCCAGAGTGTTTAACCATCCAAGCTCAAGAACAATACAGAACTGCATTTTTCAATTCCTTAACCTTTGTAACCAATTCTTTTATCTATAAAATGGGGATAATAGTAAGTACAGAACTTTTTAGGTAACATTAAAGAGTAGATGAAGATTAACTATGTCAGGCATGTGCTTAACAACAAAGAAATCTCAGCCATCTCAGCTATTTTTACTGTTGTTAACCTAGACCATGACCACTGATTAATAACTTCAATCTCTGAAAAAAATATATAATTTCACTCTCAAACTTTCAATCACTATAAAGGTTTAAACAAATTAATCACTCATCTAAGAGTCATAGACAATAATTGGTTTTAAAATATAAATAACACCTGAATATCAGCACCTTAAAGATGGAAAATGTACACCAAAAGCTTAGTTACTTGAGTCACAACAGTTTCCGTAACTGTAAAACAGCACAAATGAGGGGGGGAAACTACTTAGCCTGTCATTTTCAGCCAAACATAAAAATGCAAATAACTATGAAATCTTAATTAGAATAGGGTTTTAATACTAACATTTTAATTAAATTATCTAAACAATTAATGTGGTTATGCCCTTTAGTAGATTTTAATCCTATGTCTGAAACCCCATATAATAACAACAAATACTATCAGAAATTACATTTCTGGAAATTTAAGAAAAATTAGTCTTTTCTTGAGGAATCTGCTGCTGTTTTCTGGAGCAAATTGTATGCGGAAAAATCAGGTTTATTCTTTCCTCAAACATTAGTGACTCTTATATTTAGTGCTCACATTCTTGAAAAAGCAGATAAGAAGTAGCTCTTCCACAGTTTTTTCCAAGATCCCAATCTATGGGCATTTTCCCAAAATTAAACATTTTTATTGAATGCAACGTGTGTGTAAATGGAGAGGAACTGCTTATCAACTTCCCAAATACCATTAACTACCCATTGGCCTTTACCCTTTAAGTGGAGATGTCTTTGTAGTAGAGAACACTTATTCATGCTTTACTCAAGATGTCCCTTACCTTCTGGATACACAAATTCTGCTCTTCCCCTCAAGCCCAGATCAAGCCTTAACTCGTCATGAAACTTCCCCTGTGTGTTCTACTCCAGACCCAGGAATTTTCAACTGAAATGCTACAATACATACAGTTTGTGCTGCATAAAGTAATAGCACTTTACAAAAGAGCTTGTGAGATCATACTTGTTTCAGTTCATTCATTCATTCAAAGAAAGTGTACGAATTACTTTCTGTGCACCAGATACTGTGCTAGCACAGCAATGTGTTCCTTGCTCTCGTCAAAGCTATAGTCCACAAATGTCTGCACAGTCAGGGGCGCCTGGGTGGCTCAGATGGTTAAGCATCTGCCTTTGGCTCAGGTCATGATCCCAGGGTCCTGGGATCGAGTCCCGCATCAGGCTCCCTGCTCCTTGGGAGCCTGCTTCTCCCTCTGCCTCTCTCTCTCTCTCATGAATAAATAAATAAAATCTTTCAAAAAAAAAAAAAATGTCTGCACAATCAGACAGTGAAGCTGCCCAGATACAGGCAAAATTACACATGCCTCTTAGTTTAACATCTGTTTGCCCACTCTTGGTAAGACATTATGCAGAGAAGTTTCTTCCTAGAAAGAAAAAATTGTAACAAAAACACAATGATGAAAAAGCGCTGAGAACTGGTTAACTGGAGCACAAACACACAACCCAAAGGAGGCAGGTGCCAATCAGCTCCATGCAGTGCTTGCCATGCAAGTTGGTGATTCACACGCTGACCCTTCTCCCCATCTAGACTGGTAATTTAGTAGGTATGAAGAGCTAGCTACTAGGAGTAGTCAAATGAATAGCAAACTATTCTAAAAGCACCCTTGGTTAAATAACTGACTTTTATTAGTACAGACCATATGCCAGGCTGTACTGAAAGTGTTGTGTGTGTAAAACTCATTTAAATACATAGAAACATTATTCACAGATGAGGAAACCGAGGCAGAGAGAGCTAGCATTAAACAGCTTCCTGAAAGTCATATGGCTGATAAGTGGAGGCTTCTGACCCAGGCTATCTAACTCCAGAACCCATAGACTTAACCTATCATGCAGCATGTAAAACGGACTAAATTTGCCTCCCCACCTAGATCACTGCATGTACAAATATTTGTTAGTTGGTTGATTATAATTGGTAAGTATTTCATAAGGAGTGTTTTATTCATTGCCATATAGTTTTTTTGATTATTCACCAAAGAATACTTTTTGATGATACATTATGCATCAGACACCTTACAGGACTACGAATAGGAAGATAAATGAGACCTCTGAAGACTCATTCATCCAACAAATATTTCCTTAGCTTCTCCTGTGCACTAGAAGCTTAGGATACAACAGTGTCCCGAATAAAGGTCCTTATAGAACAGCCAAGAAAAGAGACACTGAACAAAGATCCTATGTGCCGTGAGTTTGGCAGCAATGTATGGCTGCCACCAGGGGAACCGGTACAAGGGATTAAGTTCAAACAGACACACAATGTGCTTGTATAAAATAATACAGAAGTGGTGAAAGAGATACACACAGGACGTGGGAACACAGGCAGTGAAAAACTAATCCAGCCCAAAACCAGAAGGGGTAGGGGGGAGAGGGGGTGGGAGACACAGGCCAAGAAGGCTTCCTGGAGGAGGTAAAGTCTGGGATGGGAAGCAGTCAGCCAGGCAACTGAGGACAGTCTGGGAAACATGCTTCTCATCTTCTCATAACTGCTGAAGGAACAAGTGTTCTTGAAGGATTTTGGTAATTTTCGCTTGAAAATTGGTATAGTATTTCAACTTGGTATAATATTTCAACAGGAAATATCAGACTAAATTTATTTACTGGTACTGGATGTGACTTCTGACATAGAAACAAACTCCTTAATACTTGAGGGTTGTCTCATACTTAATCATTGTGTTTCCTTCAGGGTGACTCTGGTGGCCCACTAGTTCAACAGGACTCACGGCGGCTTTGGTTCCTCGTGGGCATAGTAAGCTGGGGAGATCAATGTGGTCTGCCAGATAAGCCAGGAGTGTACACTCGAGTGACAGCCTACCGTGACTGGATAACCAAAAAAACTGGTGTCTAGCACATTAAATGCATCTCTGTGGCAAAGTCTGTATGCAGGTGTATGTCTAAAATTCCAAACCTTTCTTTTTCAGGTGCAAGAGAGACTAAAAGTGCCCTATTTTAATTTCCTGTTACATGAATATGGTTTCATAAACACTACCTGTTCTTTATTACTACAGATTCTATGTTTTCTCGAGAAAGCTATATGAATATTGCATAGTATTTTGGCTGTGGGCCAGGGGAAACATGTAAGCTAGTTACAGAGGTAACAATCTTATTACAGTTGTGATAAGAGCTAGTAATGAGAAAACCAGTTACCCTGAGAGTAGACTTCAGAGGAATCTGGACAAGTCTGCAGTGTCAGAGGAGTCTTCTCTGAAAAGTCTCACTGAAACTGGGCAAAGTATAGAAACTCACAAAAGAAGAAGTGGCAGAATAACATTCAAGACAGAAAGAATAGCATGAGGCAAGAAAAATAGTATTTATTTGAAATTTCTGGTCATGCAATATTCTATAGGTGGTATTAGTCCTAGAATTAAATATGTGAAGTCACTGTACAATCCTACAGCAATCTTAATTATCCTATAAAAACACACTCGCATAGGAACTAATGAATTTCAGGCATTTAAGATCAAAGCTGTCACTCCTCAACTGAGACCCAATGAATTATAATTTTATGATGACTTTTATTAAAAATATCCTTCATCTATATGAAAGAGAGAATTTATTTCCTCTATAAACTGATGAAATACACCAACACAACCTTCTCAGCTATCTTACAATTGCACAGTGCTTTTGAACAACTATATAGGAGTAATCTTAAGAACTAAAGATCACCCAGTGGCAGTTATTTTTGAGAATTTAAGGATCCTCAATAGCTAAATCCAAGTAATGAATTTCGTCATATGTGAAGAGTTGTTTTGCAAAGAGAAAGGTTAAATAGTTTAATTTTAATAGAATTACCTTAGAAAAGAAACTTTTCCCTCTCTTCCTCTTTCTTTCTCCCTTTCTCTTCCCTACATAAACATTATCCAAGAACATAAATAAAATCCATTAAAATTCAATGGCACAGCAATTTATGTCATCTGAATCATGAATGTAACTGAATTTTTATGGGATCCTAGCATTAACTGAAGCTTGGTTATGCATGACCATCTATGTGTCAGGGCTTCTCTCTTCTAAAAGCTAACACAACACCTGGGTATCAGAACAACAACATGCGTTGTGATGCAAACTTCTTGTATTTCCTCCTGTAAATTGTGAAGAGACCTACAGTGAAGTCATTTACTTTTAAGGAAAAGAAGTTGAAAATTTAACCAACTTGATGAAATGTACAAATTGTTGGCACACTTTATTTCAAACAAACTTTATTAAAACTATTTCCCTACCTAAGTATTTAGGGAAGTTATGATTATGAAGGATGATCCAATTTATTTAATTGGTTCTCCAACAAGAGAATTGCTAAGTAGACTCTAAAGGCTTGGTACTTTCTGCTTCCTTATAATCAAGATCTGTAACTGAGGCAAGCATCCAGCTTGACACTCCCTGGCTTTACCTTGTGAGGACAACATTAAACTGGTAATTTAGAGTAAGCCTCAAGGGGGGTGTGTTTAGTGTATAGGGGGGTGTGTGTGTGTACATGCCCTCACATAATCATATTTTTGTTTATTCCTATATGTTGAAAGCTATATAAAGTATTTATTTAGCAGAAAATAGAACAAATTCAATTTATTGAAAATAAAATATTTTTAACAAATATGTTTATTTTTATGAAGAGATATTTGAATACCTGAACACCTATTTAAGAGCTTCTTTTTTATTTTCTTATTTTTAATGTACTGATGCGTTCCATTTCCCGAGAGCTAAATAACTCAGTGAAAGTAATTTTGTACATTTGTGGGAAGAGCAGTGATTCATAAATCCTTTCAGTTCTTAAAAAAAATCATTCTGGAAACTCTGACAAAAACTTTCTAGCACCCTAATTCAGTGCCAGAAAAAATTATTAATACCAGGGGAAACCTTGTTCAGCATATAGAAAACACAGACTAACCAGTAAAAAAAACAAGGCTAACAAAGTGAATATTTGATGTTCAAACTGAATCCTCCTGGGTTTAAAATAGTGAGCAGAACAACTGAAAAGAGAATTATCCAAGAAAGTTTAAAGCAAACAAGTGGCTGTTTATTGCACTACTTGGAAGCCTTAATTGCAAAGTGTAGATCATTCATTTAACAAATTTATTGAGCCTTGTTATTCTAGGCTCTCTACTAAACACTAATAAAATTAAGATAAATAAGACATAGTACCTACACATAAGACACCCAGAGAATGATGGTGTTGATAAGCATACAATATAACTTGATGGATGCAATGATAAAGAGTAGGATATTTATTACAGGATAACAAAAGAAGGGTGAAGGTCCTAGAAGATTCAGGGGAAATATTTTTTAATATCAAAAGTGAGTCTTCCAGGGGCCCCTGGGTGGCTCAGTTGTTAAGCGTCTGCCTTGAGCTCAGGTCCTGATGCCGAGCTCCGCATCAGGCTCCCTGCTCAGCGGGAAGCCTGCTTCTCCCTCCCCCACTCCCATGCTGTGTTCCCTCTCTCGATGTGTCTCTCTCTCTGTCAAATAAATAAATAAAATCTTACCAAAAAAAGTGAGTCTAGGGGCGCCTGGGTGGCTCAGTCGTTAGGCGTCTGCCTTCCGCCCGGGTCTTGATCCCAGGGTCCTGGGATCGAGTCCCACTGGGATCGGGCTCCCTACTTGGCGGGAAGCCTGCTTCTCCCTCTCCCACTCCCCCTGCTTGTGTTCCCTCTCTCGCTGTCTCTGTCAAATAAATAAAATCTTAAAAAAAAAAAAAGGTGAGTCTTCCAGAGCATTGATTTGCCATGAATAATAATTACTCTCCTGTTATATGAGAATGGAACAAAGAACTTCTATTTATCTAAATCTGTCACAGGCTCTAATTTACACAATTCAATTCCTATTTTCCAGTTTGCTAAACATTAAATAGGTCAAACAGATCCAAAATAGGTTTTTTTCTTTATATTTTTCATAAGTCTATATAATCCAAATCCCAAAACACAGTCCTTTTCATTTCTAATCGATCACTTTGATTAATATCCTATGGGGAAAACAGGTCATTTCCCCACTTATTTCTAGTGATTAATTTCTATAAGAATCAGTTGTCCTTTGAAGGAACAGGTCCCTTATCAAGAGAAATACTTAAGCAGAAGCTGGATGATCACCTGCAGAAATGTTTTGGAGGATTTCTGCCACGGGTCAGGCTTAAAAACAACAGATCATTTCCATGGTCCCTTCCAGGCTAAGAGTCTACCCACAATAAGGAAATAATTTTGAGGGAGCATAAGATCTTTGAGAGAAAGAGGAATTGCCGAGCATTGGGACATTGTTTGTTTAATCAACATGAAACATGAAATAAATCCTCTAGAATAGGACAAAAGTAGAAGAAGGGAGACAAGTCAGAAGACTCTTGCAATAATCCAGGGAAATGATGGGATTTACTTGGATTGAGGAGCTAATAGTGAAGATGGTGAAAAATACTTGAAATTCAGGAAATATTTGTAGAAACAGAGAAATTACCTTTAGACTAGACTTAGGGGCTGAGGAAAAGGGAGTGATCAAGAATGACTCAAATTTTGAGCCTGAACAATTGAAAGGAAAATTTGGGAGGAGAACCCAGTTTGAGGATGGGGAATTAAAAGTTTCTTTCTGGGGCACCCTGGGTAGCTCAGTTGGTTAAGCATCTGACTCTTGATTTTGGCTTAAGTCATGATCTCAGGGTTGTGAAATGGAGCCCCAGGTCAAGCCCCAGGTGGAGCCCCACTGTTGGGCTCTGCACTGGGTGTGGAATCTGTTTATCCCTCTCTGTTCCTCCCCCTCTGTCCCTCCCCCCTTTGCTTGCACACACATGCTCACACACACACTCTCTCTCTCAAATAAATAAATAAATAAAATCTTTTAAAAAATTTGTTTCTTTCTGAATCTGTTACATTTGAGTTGTACAAACATTCAGGTCAGACAAACAACTATAAATACATATCTGTAGCTCAGAAAAGATATTGAAACTGGAAATATCAATTTGATGGCATTTACACTTTCAGGGAAGTAGGGGACAAAAGCCATTTTCGATGACTGGGAGAGAGAATGGGAAATGTAGTTTTTAGAAAATAAGGAAATATCTTGATGACCTCAAGAAATATCCTGATGTCTTAAGATGAAAAAAATTATTTTAGTATCATAACAAAAACAGACTTAAAGAAAATGTGTTAAGTTTGATTTTATTAAATTAAGAACATTTTGTTATTCAAAAACACTACTAAAGAATAAAAAGAAAAAATGACAGAGGGAAGATATTTGCAATACATACAACGAAAAAATAGCTCATATCTAAAATGCATAAGGAATGACTACAAATCAATAAGTAAAACAAAAAGCCTGATAAAAGAAAATGGACCGAAGATTGGAATTAGTTACATCAGAAAAAATCGGAATGGCCAATAAATGCAATAAAAGAGGCTCAATCTTATTAGAAATAAGGAAAATAAAAAATAAAGCCATGGGGCGCCTGGGTGGCTCAGTTGGTTAAGCGACTGCCTTCGGCTCAGGTCATGATCCTGGAGTCCCTGGATCGAGTCCCGCATCAGGCTCCCTGCTCAGCGGGGAGTCTGCTTCTCCCTCTGACCCTCTTCCCTCTCATGTTCTCTCTCATTCTCTCTCTCAAGTAAATAAATAAATATTCCCTTCCTGATAGCAGGAAGGGAAAAATGAAGGTGGGGAAAACGATGGGGGAGATGAACCATGAGAGACTATGGACTCTGAGAAACAAACAGGGTTCTAGAGGGGAGGGGGGTGGGGGAATGGGTTAGCCTGGTGATGGGTATTAAAGAGGGCATGTATTGAATGGAGCACTGGGTGTTATATGCAAACAATGAATCATGGAACACTACATCAAGGACTAATGATGTAATGTATGGTGATTAACATAACATAATAAAGTTTAAAAAAAAAGAATAAATCAGAGTCACACTTAACAAGGATGAGCCTTAAAAACACAAAGTTAAACAAAAGAAGACAGTCATTAAAAAAAATACATACTATTCTATTTTCAACTGTATTGTTTAAGAATTCATTTTTACTCATGAAAATCTATTTTCAAAAAAAGCAAGGAGTCTATTACCAAAAAATAAAAAAATATGTTCACCTTTAGGGGAGCACAGTAGAACTGTACCCAAGAAGGGAAAGGCAGAGAGCTACTGTTTATTAGCAAACTTCTATGGATATTTGCTTTATAGTAAGTCATTAAGTTGTACATTTATATGTACTTTTGTGTATGTGTATTATTTTCGCATCTCTGATACAGAACAATTGTCAGTATCCTCAAGCATGGTGAGGGAAAGCAATCAATAATTCTCAGGCCATTCAGAAAAGAGCCCTTGAAGAAAATATATGAAACTTTTTAAAAAGTATGTACCATTGTAGATAGCAGAAAAAGCAATTTTTTTCCTGTTCATGATCCACATTAATATTTTCATTGAATTTTTATAGATTTAACAGGATGGTCTATCAATGTTAACAGTGTTAAGAAACAATTCTAGTGTGCATAGTACTATTAAATTATCTAGTACTATTTCTTCTCCAATTAGTTATTTTCCTAAATTATAAGTTTGAAGGTAAAATAAAAAGATATATATAATCCCATGTTGTAGCAAGAGACAAGCTCAAATGATTCAGAGATTGCAAATAATTATGCATGTAATAATAAAAAAGTTAAAAAAGTTTAAGTAAAAAAAGACAGTATGTTTTTTCTTTGTGTTTGTAAATAGAATACTTGTGATAGTCCTTGGAAAAGTACTTAGGGATTCAGTGACCCCAACTTTTCTTTGCTGGTAATTTTCTGCCTTACCATTTTCAGTCCCTCTTTAAAAGGGTTACAAAATCAGGATTAGCATTTTACAGCCTTTATCATTTGCAGTGCTTTCATACAAAAAGTCTTGAAATAAGCATCCTTTAGTATACTAAACATTTCCATTTTTATGACTACAGAAATTTATTTTCCTGTTCTGGTTTTACTAGTCACGGGGAAAACAGGGTTTCCTATCAGCTGTTTCTTTACTTGATTCACAACAGAGAAAGGAAACTATCAAATATAGAAGCCAACTCTATAACTTTAAGACACTAACATATACTCAGAAGAGATAAATTCAGTAAATTCCTTGGATATTACTAGATATTTAGATATTTGGACTCATAGCAGGGAAAATGTTAGAATGTAGCTTTCTAAACTATCATAGACTTAAAATTTACTTTTAAGATTTATTTATTTGACAGAGAGAGACACAGCGAGAGAGAGAACGCAAACAGGGGGAGTGGGAAAGGGAGAAGCAGGCTTCCTGCGGAGAGATCGCAGAACCCTGGGATCACGACCTGAGCCAAAGGCAGACGCTTAATGACTGAGCCACCCAGGCGCCCCAGACTTATAATTTTTAAAAGTAGGTTTTATTGCAGGCATCCACACTGAGGAGAAGTTTTAACATAATGTCAGAGCCTTATAGATACATTTTTAGATGACAACAATATAAAGAAAAATTTGATAAACAACAATGATACTGCTAGTCTAACTACTACGGTCCAGCATTGGATAGGATTTTCACATTATCAGACATTTTTATATATTGTTATTTTTAGAAAAGGAAAGGATAAGGAAATAAATTTGACTCATAGTATGATCTAATGGTCATATTTAGCTGAAGAAGCAAGCATGTTCTTTAAAAGGCTGTTTGAACTCCAGGTAAAATGTCAGATGTTAATTGAAGTGACCAAGCCAACACAGTAGGAAATGACAGCAGACTCAATTGCTGGTTCTCTGACTCAGACCAAAGCTCTCCATCTTTGTGCACACCTCTCAGCAGCCATTTATATGTACTATTCCTCCACTCACCATGGTCTGTTGGAAGAACCATGGTGGGCCATAGGCACTGTTTCCATTTCCTTATCTGTGAGGCTTCAAAAATAACTTTCCCGACTTCACAGGGTTTTACTTTGAATAAACTAAACATTATAATAAATTACATGAAATAAACCGTATAAAACCTACCAAGAAAAGAATTTAAAAATAGAGTAACTCTGAGCCAAAAAAAAATTTTTAAGTGGGAATTTTTGCCCTGAAGTCATACAACCAAGTAATTTATTTCACAACCAGCTATACATTTTAAAAACCTATTTTATAAAAAAAAAACCCTATTTTATATTAATCCTTGATTTTAATTTTAAGTAGGATGTCTTTTCTAAAGATCTAATCACACTCAAAAGGGATATGCCCCTCTTTAGCAGAAAGTGCAAAGTCCTCCTACCTTTGCAATTTCCAATCCTATTAGGTGAAAGACTTCTGTTCCCACCAGTCTGGCTGGGTAATTAAATAAATGCCATCTCTTTTTAAAAAAACAGATTGTATTGAGCTCCTTTTCAGAATGCCAGACAAAACCTGATCAGGAAAAATTAAAGTGTGAAAGCTTCAAAGTTTACACACTCTTGTTACCAATCATCGACATGTTCTCATTAAGTGAAATGAATATTAAACCTCTCTTTTTATACACACAGATCAGGCAAAGTGCTTTTCTTAAGTTAGTAGGGGAAAAAAAAATAAGTTCTTATAAAAATACCTTCAGGATCACATTCTTTTATGAAAATAAAGAATACCTACAATATTATGAAGTTAGTTTTTGTTACATGATTATAAAATTCATTTGGGTAGAACCCATGAAGTAGAGACAATTTCTCCAAATTCTAACATAAATGTATTTAAACTGTGGTCGTTAACATTTTAGGCCTATCCTGCTACTAAAGTCTATGGATTATCCAAAAAGTCCTATATTCTTTAAAACTTGCTTCAGATAACAGTTTTATAAGGATATCTGTTTTTGCTGACAGTAGTTTTGTTAAGATACTCCCACATGAGCAGATTTGCTGGGTTACCCCAGTTAAACAAATGTATTTAGTC